GGATCGAATCCTCGCGACCTCTAATAGTTTTACAGATACAGGCCGGCATAGGGCCAGTCGTTTCTTGACGCTCCAGATCGATCATTTTAAATCCAGCAGCGTCGCTGACGTGGGGGTTGGAAATGTCGTGGGCCTGCACTTCTCAAAATAGAGGTAGGTATGGACTTCCCACTGCTGGACTCCTCTGGTCATAATGCTGGACTCCTCGGTCCACCTCAGTGTCAGAAAAGTGGCCCGTTTCTAAGTTTTCTTGAACTCGGAAGATTTGTTCTGCGAAAAGTCTTGACTAAAGAAAAACAATTTTTGTTCTGTGAGCAAACGTTCCCTAAACAGATGATTTCTGTGCAACAAAGTACCTCTACCCATCTATGTCAGCATTATCAGGCTTGATGGAGCATTTCACAATGGGTCACTTAATAAAAACCCAACTGCCTACCCATTTTGACTGATTTTTCTTCTTCAGCAGATTAAGTCATCTCTCCAGTCTCCATGGCTACTGAATGAAGACCTGGACTCCTGTATAGAATGCAGTACAAACTACTGACCTACTCCCAAGAACCAGCACCGCCTGCTACTCTTGGTTCACCAGCTGACAGCTGTTGGCAAAACTTTCACTGGTATTAGATTGATAGATATAACTGGTATTTGATCGGCAGCCTGAAGCCCATCAACTGTGATGTGTTATGAACAGGTGATCTGTGAATTGTGATCACACAGTGTGTGCATTAACAATTAATCCTGTATTTTATAATACAAATGTTGAAAATTTTGTCACTCTTTTAACATCTGGTTCAACACGTATGATATGAATGAAGGACTACACAGCATGCAGGAGCTGGAAATGGGCAATGCCCCAATGGATATGCAAACTTAACGTAATCAGGTGAGATAAACCTGAAAAGCTCGATTTCATATCCATATTAGCATGCAGTGCCTACAAAGTAGTGAATGTTTTAAAAAAAATAACTGACAGGCAACAGCAGTTCAAGTTAATAACGTAGTCAGGTGAGATAAACCTGAAAAGCTCAGCTTGATTAATTTACATGTACACTGTTCTGAGAAATGACACATATACCAAGCTAGTGAGTAGTACCTAAATGCTATCAGAAAATTATGGGTACTGGATAAGCATATTACCCATAATACATATATCAGCACAACCTATCCTACCTTTAAAATCACATTCTCACACAAATCAAACGAAGGTACCAAACAAATCACAAAAATAACACGCGAGTCATGGGAGACGAGTCATAAGCCTTGGCCTTTTGACGTCTAAAACACTGCCATCGCCGCACCAACAAGCTCGCTCCCCGCCCGGCTCCCTTCATAACGCAACCGGGCGCAAACTTTTTCTGAGTTCTCGCAGAACATATTTGGTGTTTCCGTGGTGGCAGACTATCCCCTGGTAAAAGTTCCCAATTGCAGTAAAGTAAGAAAAAATGATATCAGTAGATGTAAAAAAGATTTTTCTTTTCAAAAATGTCAAAATTTAGCAATTTTATAACGTGTGATGCCCATATTTTACGATAGTCTGCGGGGTCGTTCCGTGCCTGCTAAGGTCAGCTTCACTTGGATCGTTTAACCCGCGCCCCACTGGGGTCTGCGTATAACACGCCCTACTGGGGGGGGGGGGGCTATTCATAGCCCCCCCTCCTAACTCCGAAACTACTGGGCCGATCGTCAAAATTCAAACGGCGTCTGATAGCCCCGGAAAAACTGTCGAGCGAAACCTAATTTCATTGACCTCGAGGTCACCGATGACGTCACAGGTCAGGTCAAAGTAAAAATTATTAGCATTTTGGCTTCTTCACGTTTTGGGCTCTGGCCGCCGTCTTACAAGTCAGATCAGGCTCATTTTTGGTTCACACACTCGTGAACAGATGCTCTAGATACTCTGAGGGTACCAAACCTGTACTTTGATTTTCAGGTCAAGGTCAGGTCATCACAGGTCACGAAAATATTATATCATCCGTCGGTCACGTGACACATGTTTTATGGTCCATTTAGGCCAAACATTTCGAATTTGATGTCGTCTGTGTCATTCGAGGTCATTTTGAGTCAAATTTAGCTCAGGTCAGGTCACTTTCAGGTCAAAAAAGGTCAAATTTTGAAGTAAAAATTTTTCAATAAAAAAGGTGTCTATTGGATGCAGTTTGAGCTCAGGAACACGATGGTGCTATTTATATTGGCGTACGATGTCAAATTCGTGCTGAAAAAATTGATTTGAAAAATTAATAATTGTTAATTTTTTTGCAATAATGCGTATAACTTAGCCATTTTTGAAGATATTTAGCTAAAACTTGCTAGAGTTAGTCATAATAATGCGTTCTATCACATATATTCCGGTTTTTTCGAAAAGTCAAAAAGTGTTTGAAAAAAATGTAAAAATATAAATTTTGAATTTTATTATATAAAATTATCGAAATTTTCAAAATTTCGAAAATCCGAGATAGCAGTTTGATAGCGCAGTCTATTCTGAGTCCTCTCATGCAAAGAAATTGGATCTAGCTTAAAAACTGAGCTCTTGGGAGCGATTGCCATGGTTCAATGTTTTGCGTCGAAATCGGCCGAACATGACGTCACTCTGACGTCATTTCCGGCCGACCTATGGTAGGTACGAAGTTCAAATTTTGACACAAGGTGTCAAATTGATGCAGCCGAAGGTACTGAAAGTTTGGCGTCGATAAGTCAAGCGGTTTGGAAGTTATTGCAGAAAAACGGGAGGGGGGGCTATAAATAGCCCCCCCCCCAGTGGGGCGCGGGTTAAGACACCTAGACATCATTCATTGCAAAACAAGGTATGGCTAGAATGGAAATTGATTGGAAAAAGTTATAGAATAGTTTGTGTTTCGTAAAAATGAGCAAAAAAATGCGTATGGGGATAATAAGTGACAGCGTCTTTTGAGGTATCACCTTTTTGGTGCCGGCATAAGAGAACTTGGACGAATTTATGGCAAAATTTTTGTGAATGATATTAAAATGAACAAAATAAACAGTTATTGTCTTTTTGATGCCCTTTTCCCATCTGAATTACACAAAAAAATGACTTTTTTTTCTCGAACTCATGGCAGTAAGATATCAATTAACTTGTAATAAATCGACCGAAGGCATTATTTTGTGCTGCATATTATTCATTAAATTTTGTATTAAAATAAATTGAACATCAAAATCGTTTTTGTCATTCGGCAATGAACTTAACTAGCAACAAATACTTTTTAAAAAAATAAATACATTCTCAGACTAGGCAGCGCTGTCTGGCGCGTATCGCGCGCTTTTACGCGACTGCGCCGGGTTAGTCTCGCAATTTGCGTGAGTTATTGTAAAGAAGTATAATTTCGTGGGGTAATTTAATAGTTAAATGGTTATGTGCATTTTTTCTCGTTTTTTCATACTCAACAATATGATTTTTGTTTAAAGGCTGAGATACTGAGACTCATTCGACTTCGACCATCTTCGTTCAAGGAATCTGAGGTGGGATTGTTCATGTCTATTTTTGTAACAAGCTCAGGTAATGGTAATACTTAACATAAACCATGTGTTTCAGTTTGTCTTAACTTCTCCCCTTCTTGATTATACCTTCACTTCTACCTAGGCTAAGAAAGTGATATCCAAGGGTAGCTGCTTTCACATTAGTAGCCTTCTGGTGGGTTCAGATTGTTTTCTTGCAATTAGTTATGATATGTTCTTGGATTTCCCTTGTTAAAATTAGGCAAATGTGAATATTAATATTTATATAGGTATGCATCATTATACTTGAGCAATGGCAATGTAGGCTACCTGCCTATTGGCTATTAAGTAGATACGAGATTGCATGGGCCATGGGGATTCATTAAGCAGGCGTCTCACGAGATGCCAGATCTGAAACATAATCGAACCTGACCTAACCTTACCTACAAGCCTACAACCTACAAGCCTAACACCTACAACCTACAACCTACATTGCTATCGTAGACAGATCTGGCATCTCGTGAGGTGCCTGCTTAATGATTACCATTGCATGTTGGTCATGTGCAGGTGTTTCACTTTGATATGTGCTGCATTTCAACTATCTCTGCCCATTATGCTAAAAAGAAACTGATATAATGCAGTAGCTTCATTAAAAATTTGGAACCATAGCTAAGTTCCAACTTTGTTCTGCGACCTTTTCAAAATTTTAGTCTGCGAACTTAGATCCCCAAACCACTTTTCTGACACTGGTCCACCTACACGTTACCAAAACGTATATAATTAGGTACTCGTATCTACAACACACTGCTCAGTCATTTTGTAAAATGGCTAGGTATTTTGTAAAATGCCTAGGCATTTTGCAAAATGACTGGAGAGTCAGTCATTTTGTAAAATGCCTAGGCTTTTTTCAAAAAGCCTGGAAAATCAGGCATTTTGCAAAATGCCTAGGCATTTTACAAAATGACTGATTTTCTAAAGTGCCTGCAACATATACACATTACGATTACCTAGTTTATATACACATTACTTACGATGCGTTAAAAGATGTAGCTTAACATGCATTCCCGTAATTTCGGCATACTTCTGGCATACCCTTTATGTAGAGAGCATAGCTCGGTGTCGCACTTCACACTCTCGGTGTCGTCGATTGCACGCCAGGACATATGAATCCTTGAATAGGTACTTATACAATGCTTAGGAAATACAATTCGCAACTAGTATTATTTAGCGGTCCGAGGGCACCTACAGCAGACTGAGGGAGAGAGCGCGGGACGCTGGGGCAGTACTAAGCGAGGGAGCGTTGGGCGCCAGAACTCCAGAACTGCACCGAGGAATGAAACGGGTCCCGGCCGAGCGTCGGACGGCGTCCAGAGGCCGATGGTCCCACACAGACCGAGGCCGAAAAACGGTCTGTGTGGCCCGAGCCAAGTACCTACGGATTTTGCGGATAACCCCTTCGCGTTGGCACAAAATCAGCATCACAAGTTAACGTATACATCCGCCCCGCGTTCCCACACAGCATGGAGAGCCTCTCGCCCGGGACGGATCACCTGTAAATGGCGACGTTGCTCCAGCTGCTGGGGTCCCAGGCGCGCACGGTCGTGTCCTCGCCCGCCGTCAGCAGCAGGCCGCCGGTCGGCTCGAACACCATGTCGAACACGGGCCCGGCGTGGGCGCGCAGGTGTCGGCTGGGTGCGCCGGCGGCCGCGGCCGGTGGCGCGCCGTCGTCACCGGCCAGCGGCAGCCGCGCCGCCGCGTTCGGCCGGCCCGGCAGGCCGTCGGCGGTCAGCGCCCAGACCGAGGCGCCGCCGTCACCGGCCGTCACCAGGGCGTCCAGCCGCGGCGCCGCCACCGCGCACGTCAGCGGCCGGTGCACGCGGTAGGCGCACACGGTGGGCGGCGGCGGCGGCTCGGCACGCAGCCGGCGGCCGGCGCGCGCCAGGTCACAGTCCTCGGCGGCCGCTGTCAGTCGCTGCCGGCCACACACCCGACCACCGTCAGCCGACACACCAGACAATGTTTGGTAGAAGGAATAATGCTACCCTATAAAAAAAAAAAAACATAAGGGAATCAGTCCAGTGTTTGCGGAGACATCAGCCTGGCGAAAGCGCCCCCCAAAAATCTGCTATTCTACGTAAGCCTTCGCTGGCACGTAATGAGTCAAAACACAGTACGGTCGTTGCAGTTTGGGCGGATGGACCTGCGGCCGCGCCAGGGCGGTGTCGACAGCCGCCGGTCGCCGGCGGTGACGCACCTGCAGACCGCCGGGCGGTCCGGAGCCGGTCAGGTAGCGGCGCCGGCCGCGGCGGTCCGGCTCGGCCTCCGGCGCCGGCCGGCCCGCGCAGCCGCTCAGCCGCACGTGCTGGCTGAGCGTCTGCAGGACCAGCGTCAGCTGACTGCTGCGCAGCGAGCGCCGCAGGTACTCGGAGCACTCCGGCGAGAGCGACACATCCGGCGGGTTGCGGCTGAAACGGGGACGCACAGCACACTCAGCACCTGCAGCACTGGAACTGGGGGCGAACGGCACTGAACAGCAGGAGAGGGTCCGCCGCAAGGCAAAATATCTGTCAGATTCAGTTATCAACAAAACTAAATACTAATAGTTCGTATTGACATCGTCACCAAGTGAAATTACTCTATTCTTTTACCAATCAGTAGGATTTCGTGTCTGACTACTTATTATTTCTTCTTGTCGCAAATAGTTTGAACCGATTGGCCCCAAGATGTAAAGGTATCCCTCCCCGCCGGCCACAGATGCAGGTACACCTCTCCGCCGGCCCCCGCAGCTATTCGAGCACTCCCACCTCTGCGCCGAGCGCGGCCACTGACCGGAAGTGTTTGAGCGGCGGCCTCTCGAGGTGGTCGGCGGTGCTGACTGCGGCCAGCTCCGGCAGCAGCGACTGGTGTCCCGGGTCGCCCAGCAGCGCGCCGTGGTGGCGCGCGTAGAACCTGCCAACACGCCGCCGGCGCGGTCAGCGACAGAGGCAGACACACCAACGCAGCGCAGCTGATACACGAGTGTAGGCGGTGTAGCAGTCCAGCCCACAGCACCGACCCGGCGGCAGCGGCCTATCCACGGACGGTGTTCGGACTGGCGGCGAAGACGGGCGGATATCTGTACCCGACAGTGGCGGATCCAGGGGAGGGCAAAATGGGCATTTGCCCTCCCCAAAGCCAAATCGTGTGGGCAAGACTATCTTTTTGCCCCTCCCAAAGCATGCAGCGATGAGAAAATCTAATACGGCGTCGATGCCAATATGGACGAAAACCAGGGCTTCTTTCCTTGACGGCCATTCCGAAGGAAGGAGCTAACCACTGGCTGCTGATATTTTTGGTCGGTATGCTGATAATATACATATGTAGATGGAACTCCCTGAACTGAATGCATGCATATGCATTATGCAGTGTGGCCATGGTGTGGGGTAACACGGGGCAAGATGCCCAGTCGGGTAAGACGCCCACCACCTTTTCGAAACTACCTAAGCAATCCACAGTTTTGTCGTTTGTTGGGAGCCTCAGCGCTGTGGATCGTTCCGCGTAAAAAAAAACGGCGGCGTTCCGAGCCGCCGTTTTCTACATTTTTTTTTCATGTGTTCTGAAAATTTTCAGACCAAGGTCTCTCAAGGTCACGAAGTCACTAAGTCACGTCAAGTGAGATAACCTAAAAACAGTTCCAATGCTTGCCATAGCTAAACCGAGTGACGGATTGCTTTGAAACTTTCAGCAGTTTATAAGGGCAACAGTACCTACCTATGTATAAAATGTTAATCACATGATTTTTTATATCGATGACCTAAGGCAAGGTCAATTTTGCGACCTCTCCACTAAAAGTCAAGAGAAAATTGAAAGGCGCCTGTTTTGGGCAACTGTCCGTTAGCTCAGTTGGTATTTGGTAAAGCAGCAATGGAGTCCCGGTAGTGAGAGCCCGGGTTCGAGACACGCTCCGGCGCTCGATATTTGAGATTCGTGACGGGGATGGTCTCCGGTTGGTGGGAGCAGCCGCAGCCAGTTGAAGTCAGTTGAGTGGTACAGGCCGTGTCTGGCTTTGAAGGGCACGTTAAACTTTGGCATCTAAATTCTCCCGTCACCCGGAATTACGCGATCGGACGGTACGGGGTGGGCTCTACGCAACAAGCTCTGCTTAGCGTGGGCTACGGCTACGTCAATCCGTCCTTTCAAACATTCGTGCTAAATTTATAAAAAACGTCATTCTTAACAATACCGAGTTACAACCTATACAGGACACAGTGAACCGGAAAATGGCACCCGTGACCCCTTCTTATGTCCCTGAGGTCATCTCAGGTCACGAAAGATGTGCAACAGTTTGCAACAGATAACTTTTGATAGAGGCAATCTAGAGCAATAGAAACACATTAGATGTGTTCAGCTTGACAATACGGATCGACTGATATGCAACACGACCTTTTCCGGTCAGGTCACGACCTTGACCAATTGTCAAAGGATTAAGTTCATTCTTTAAGATCAAATTATAACTCATTCGACGCGTCTTGACGAGAGGAGCACGATGTCGGTAAAAGTAAAATCTTACAAAGTTTGAGTCAAAAGTTATCGCAGAAAATCCGTTCCCGTAAAAATCGTCTATTTTGGCAGTTCCCCTAGAGGCTAAGCCATTCATCTGAGGTCCAATCTGAGGGAATTATCCAGAAAGAGCAATAACAGGCCTCAAATCAGTTTTTCTGGGGTGCTCTAGCTCTATTCGTTTCCGAGTTATGCGCCAGGTTTTTCAAAAGTTGTCGAAACTGGACCTAAATATTGTCAAATTTGGCCTTTGATGACCTCTGGTGACCTGACCTCTCACCTGACCTTTAAAGTGACTGGGGTTATTTGGTCATTATGTTTGACGATCTTTCAAACGCCACCTACCGCGTTTTGCTACGTGGCCCAGGAGCCGAGTTAGAAGGTAGATGGGTGTTCAAACATCCCCCAGGGTCGTGAAAATCCAGAAGCCCCAGCGCGGCTGCGCACGGGTTAACATAGGACATTTTACACCATCTTACCCCGTATATGGGTAACATGACCTTTTGTAACTCTATTTGTAAATCGCAAAAATGAACAACTTCTCTTCATCAGGAACACTGAGCTCTTGCATACATTCAAGAATCAAGATAAATAACCAATTGATAAAATAGCATCACAAACTCGTTTGTAACAAGGAAAACGTATGAGATATGCATTTTCTATTGAGGTGGGCGACTTGTCCCGGGCTACCCTACTGGCGTTGTAAGGTCACTTGGTCACTGGCGCGGTGGTGGGTCGGAGTCGCCGATGGTCGGCTAAACTTTTGCCCTCCCCAAACGGATCGGCTGGATCCGCCCCTGGTACCCGATAGGACTAGTCCGCCGAGCTCTTGGTGAGCAGTACCTGACAGCACTGCCCTCGGCAGAGTGAATCGTACCTGGCAGGACTGTGTCCGCCGAGCACCAGCTCGATGTGCAGGCCGACAAACACGGGTGCGAGCAGCGGCTGCAGCGCCGCCTGGTACGGCGCCGGCGACTCCTGCACCCACTCACGGAACCTGCGCCGGAAAATCCGAGCACCGTCAACTGCGGACGAGTCAGCGCGTCAGGGGTCCCGACTGGCTGACAGTCTGAGACCGCGTGCACCGTTCTAGTTACTCGTACAACATGGGAAATCTGTTATTGATCGAACTCATCGATCAGCGTTAGTATGGCTGTGTGAACAGGCGTGGGTTACCTTGCAAACTGTGTATCGGCGGCTGCAGGCTCCATCTGAGCGGTTACCTTGCAAACTGTGTATCGGCGGCTGTAGGCTCCATCTGAGCGGTTACCTTGCAAACTGTGTATCGGCGGCTGTAGGCTCCATCTGCGCGGCGCTGTTCAGCATGACGTTAGCCGCGCTGGCGGCCGCATCGGCCACAGAGTCGGCGGCCAGCTCGCCGAGCGGCTGGGTGCCCTGCTCTCCCTCCTTAGACTCGGCCTGTCAGGCGGGAGACACCGTCATCGGCGCAGCGTGTCACAGCGGAGGAACGGACGGGGAAACCATCGCCGGGGCAACGACTAACGAATCACTGCGGAGGAACGGAATGCCTCACCGAATCAGCCGTGAAGCTGGCACCTCGAGGGGAAACAAGCAAAAGGAGGAAGCTGGTAGGATGAATAAAGGTTCTGAGCATAGCAAGTGTGATTTCAGGAGTTGTAGAACGTACAGGACGATAGCACAATAATTGCGATTTGGTAAATGGTTCCTAGGCTGAGGTGACAATTATATCAGCAAAGGACTGTCAGGTAAAGGATCTCGCCTCTGTCCAAGCAGAGAAAGTTCAGGTTGTCACGAGAATTTAGTAGCCGATGTTTAGCTTGCTCAAATAGCCGGACCTTAACTGGCTTCGGCTGCTACCACCAACCGTAACCATTTCACAGTAAAATCCCCGGCTCATTAAACCGTACTAGCCGCTAGCGCGGCTAGCGGGCCACAACAGGCCCGGCAGGGCCCGCGGGGCCCACCGACGAGGCGGTGCGTGCCGTGACCCGCAAGCTATTGTGCCATGACCCGCACATTTCTGCATGTAAAAACTCGCGGGCGTTCTTTCTAATCCTAAAGCTTGTGAACGAGATACCTACATGTCGAATATTAGTTTCGCTGCGTGTTAATTCGCCGTGATATCATTCGCCGACATCTTATGAACCTGCATGGAAAAGGAGGAACGAACTCCCAATATTCTGTCTACAATAAGATACCTAACCAGTATTTTACCCGTTTTGTATCGCCGGGCCGAAACAGAACCGATTATAAAAGGTAAAAAAGTTTCGTGCTTGATTCCACAGTTCGGTGCATGATGACTTTTGTTTGATAATATTGCTGTTGATGGGAAGAAACCCATTCCAAGTGTGACAGGCCAAGTCCAGTCATGCGGGTATATTTAATCTAACCAGCTTGAATTCTGACAACGGAAGTTTCTAAAATAAGACAGTAGGTATGTAGAGCAATATGCACTGCTAAATCGAGACACTCTTTGGAGCAACATGTAGGCACTAGGCACATAAAAACAATGATTATGATGAAAAACTCTTGGAAGCACACATGTGATGTCATACTCACACATAAGTTTCTTCTCTTCAAGTAAGAATGAATAACTTCATTCACAGATTCATGAAGATCTCCATTCTGCTTTGCTGACATGATCTACAGGCCAGCAGATGAGGTTGGTAGCATTCTTCGACATTTAAGATATTCCAAGTTCATCCTGTAAAAAATCCATAAGTATAATTTATGAAGTTTGATGGGCATTCAGAACAGACGAAAATAGAAACATCAATCAGTTTGCCAGCAGCAGTGTGTCAGACAGCAAGATCCAGAACAAATAAACAGAAACTTGGGAGCTTCTTGCCTGTACATGTTACTACTGCTGAGAATCCATACAGATAGTTATGAGCATTAACTAATTTTAAATGTGGATCACTCTTAAATGTAGGATAACATGGGGCAAGTCGCCCACCTCAACCCTCGCCAGCACAGGCCATTTTGCGTCCTTTGACGGCACAAGGGCACAAGGTACAAGGGTGGCACAAATAAAACACAACACCAGAATAGTTGTGCTCAATGCTCAATGCTTTGCTGGAAGAGAGTTACATCAAGGCCCTGTTTCACCGGTGATAGCAGCACGCTGCTTTTACACGTCAAATTGGGTTTCCATGGAAATATCAACAGGCCCATTGCTCCAACACTACAAGTGTGACGTCAGCTCGCGCAATTTGATAGCAGCGTGGTAGCAGCGTCCTGTGAAACACCGCCCTAGTCAAAATAGCATAATAAATGATCTGAATAGGGCCATAGGTGAGAAAGGGCTGATTGCACGCAACCATAGGAAAATCTGAACGGACTATGAGTTGCTGGAACTAAATATAAATGACAAGTCGAAAGGATGTTGGCAATATGTTCAGTGCCCATCTAGAAAGAGTGGTACAAGCCCGTCCCATGCAGGTCTGAATTCGCTGATGTCAAACTGCTAAGATTTGTGGAATAACTCATGTGCATGGGTGTGAACTGTGATGGGTAAAAGTATACATTGAGTCCGAGACCCGAGTGACTGTTAAAAGATAAACTTTTCATATTCTTACATTATTTGACATCCTGAATCCAAAAATGATAGGTACTTATATGTCTTGGAAATCAAAGAAAAAACATAATCAAACCTGACCTAACCTTACCTATTTACCTACAATCTACCAACCTACAACCTAACCTAACCTAACCTACAAACCTACAACCTAAAGCCTAAAACCTACAAACCTACAAACCTACAACCTAAACCAAAACCAAGGCCATCTATAGACCAAAACCATGGATTAGAGATATCCATGCCAAAACCCTTGCCAAAACCTAAATTTTTTGCTGTTACATATTTGTATCAACAGCGTCACAATTGTCCACTCGGACCACTAATACACGTCTATCAATTCAGCAGCAACGAATATCAGCCTCACAGCAGCATATTTCGGGGTCTTTCGATTTGGCTGAAAATCGGTATACAGTAGGGTGTGTCACTAGAAACAGATCAGGCGCTTCCGCTGATCGGAGTGCTGTTCATGGACACCTGCGGTAACTGCGGTAGCTGCGGTAGATCGCAGGCTGTAAGTCCCGCCCACTTGTGCGTACAGTGTGTCTAAAAAGAATGTACCGTCGCCACTACGTGGCGCTGGTGTCGCGAGCCGGTAGTTGGCTGAATCCGCACCAGACCACACATTCCCAGGCGCTAGGTGACAGCTGCGTGGCGGCCGGTAGTAGCGTAAGCCCGAACCTTCGTGACACGACCCCGGGGGGGGGGGGGAGGGAGGGGAGCGGGCGGGGCAGCGCGTGTAGGGAGGGGTGCTCCAGCAAGCTGGCAGTTGTCGCGGCCAAAGGTCAAGGGGTCACACACCAAGCGAACGGACGCTGATGTGGGTTCGTGGGGATCATGAACTTGTGTGTGGTAGGTGCGTCTTGCGATGCACGGGTGATACGCCAGGTCTAAGCCAAAGGATTCAGGGGAGAGCTGAAGAAAACACCTGGTCAACTACGGCGAATAATAGTGCTGAAAAATGGAAAGTATGGGTCAATGCAAGCCTTCATGACTATAAACAACTTTCTGAGGACGCAAAGGCCAGCATTGAATAACGATATCCGGATCGAAATTAGCAATGATTTATAATTAAATGCCGAACTAATAGCGCTGCAAAACCCTCCTAGTAAATTGTCAAGTCGGATTATACCCACTTGAATTAAACTATCCTAAATAAAATTGTTAATCAACTTTCTAACACCGACGTTCTTTATCATACGATGAGTATGGGGTTAACCAAGATTCAGCATCTTCCGCGTTCAAACAATCACCTGTAAGGCTAGAACATTAATGGCCAGGTAAAAACATGGTCGGGATTTGATTAACCGGATTATAAGTCGATTTTTTAGTCGGGATTTGATAAGTCGGATTTTTTTACGCCAACCGCATTTTAAGTCAAGTCAGGTCACTGATCTATGACGTCATAAATGAGCAGTCCTAAAATGAACTATGTGAAACTGTCCTAAACTGTCCTCAACATTTTAGGACTGTGTGCACACTCCTAAAATGTTCCAACTTCGCAACACCCTCAGTGCAGACCTTTCATAGGGAGATGAAACTTACAGGATCTTATAGTATGATCGAGAGTCTCACAGCTTGTATACATGTATATCTCGGATTTTCTGAAGGGTCGCCTGAGATCAGGTCAGTGTCTCACCATTAAAAGTCAGGGGAATATGGAAATTGCTAGTTTGGTCCGGAAATGATATACAACTATCTCAAATTCTCAAGCACACAGAATCGTGATTTCATGCGCTCCTTGCAAGGTCTGATGCTTTAATGTTGCTTTGTTGATCTTGCGTGACGTCATTTATCACGTAACCAAGGGTATCAGTTTTTCGTCAATAATTCCCGATCAACTAAAGCTACCGAGTCGATAAAGCCACTAATGGACATGAAAAGACCTGCCGAATCGATTGATATGCAATATGACCTCCTTTGACCAGCTTCGTGACCTGACGGGCTGTGACCTGACCTTGACCCGAGGTTAACACCTTAACTCTCGCCCGTATTGGTGTTTTTCCAGCCGCAAACGTATAAGGAAGGGGGGGGGGTCCGTTGGACCCTCCCTTGCCGTTTCGCCCCTGATCGAGCTAGAGCTTCGCGGAAAAAACGAGCGTGTTGGCCGTGACGAGAGGAAGTCGATGATACCCAATTTTAAGGTCCTAGGTCATCGGTTGACTTTCCAGGTCAGGTCAATGACCCAAAAGTCGGGAAAATCGGGCCTGTTAGAAAGTCGTAAAGCGTGGCTGCTATGGGGTTTTCGGGGTGCTGATCACGAATATCATGTTAGTTTTGATCACAGATGATGTCTTCATGCATTTAGGCCAGGTCGGGTCAGGTCAGGTCAGGTCAACCAGTAAGGGTATTCGAAGTAGGTGGCAACCGCCTCTGACAGCTTCGCAACATGTTACGAGGGCACCAAAACTACTTCGTAAATGTTCATATGGCTGCTAAATTCGAATTCAGCTCCTAAAACTGGCCTAGAAACATGTAAAACTCGAAAAAGTGAACCGAGGTCATCAAAGGTCAATGACCTGACCTGACTTTCCGGTGACCTTGACACCCACCCTAATGCATGGAAGCAACATCATATCCCATGTTTGAACGCTTAAAACCACGAAAAGACTGCAAACGCGCCGCTAATGCGAGCCGACATACGCCGAATCGCGATTCCGGCCAAACATGGTCTCGAAAAGTAGGTCGCAGGTCAAAGGTCATTAAGGTCAGGGTCATGACAATTTTAGGGTGGGTGTAAAATTGATTAACGCGAGGGTAACGAAAGTTTCGTCGCGATCGGCCGCTTTTTACGCGAGTTATTCGCGAAAAACCGAGGGAGGGGGGTCCGTTCGACCCCCCCCTCTATACGGGCGAGGGTTAAGTTGATCTCACCCGAAGAAAAAGTATACCATTCGATACGCCTGAGCTAGACAAACACGATGCTGCTAAAATCGCGGATCTGCGATCATTTTTAGCGAAGTTATTTACCAAAAACCGAACCTGTGCCTTGGGCCACTTGACCTGACCTCCGAAGTCATCGGCTGACCCTGGTCCTTAAATCGGAGACCAATCGCTGCATTTCGTAACGACGCACACGATCGTCTCTTTCGTGAGGCTCTAGCTCAATTAGGGGCGAATCGGCGAAGGGGGGTTGGAAGTGTTTCCTCACTTCCAACCCCCAACGTCCCCTCGGTATTCAGAAAACCTGAAGGTCCGGTGAGGGTTAAAACGTTTCTCCTGAACGAGGAAGAAATGTAAAAGTCAAAGCTCTATAGACGTCCTGTAAAAGTGGCCATAATAATAAATTCGTTAGAAATAAGATGCTTTTTAAACGACTTCCTCATATAAAATCGGGTGCTGGGAACAATCTTATAAACGCTTTAGAATGGACAGGGCGTCACTGGCTAAAGTTTGGGTGCAGAAAACGGCCATTACCTACCTAAATGCAAAATGGTTTTCATGCATTTCAGTCAATTGTATATTGTCGGTCCCAGTGGCCGAGCTAAAAAAAAAATCGGTAGTGTTTTGCATCTTTTACGCCCTAAGAAACTACACCATCTATCGAAGTGGGCGGGCTTATTTGAATGGGAGGGCGCATTATGCACGAATCGAGTGCTTTCGTTTATTTTGGACTGTATTTTACCACATCCACTGCTGGTATCACTATTAATATTATCTAATGCCGTGAATACGACAGCTTTCCATTTATAAGATTGGGCCAATGAAGTCGCGCCCCGCGAGCTCGGTTTTCCGCTGGGCCGCTACAGGCCAGGAAGTCGGGCTTCGCCTGAGGGCAGGACAAAGGTCAGCGAGGGAGCGCGGGGTCAGCCAGGTATCGCCAAGTGCCGAGCGGATGCCGTTCCCTCCCCTCTCTTCCCCTCTTCTCCCCTCCCCACCTCGGTATAGATGGGGAGGGACCGAACTGCCAATGACATGCGAGCGGTCAAGGCCGCTCGCGCGGCAGCGACCCTGGCGGCCGGGTGCCGCAACTGGGATTCAGCCAAGTTACCGATTCGCCTCCTGTGGGAGAGCCAAACCAGGGGACATACTTTTTAGATATACTGTACGTCATCACGCGTTCGTCTGAGGCGGCCGTGTCAATTTTCCGCCCAAGTTACACGAATGCGCAACTGCCGCGCCACTTTGCATGACAAATGGTTCCTGCGGCCGCTGCGGTCGGATCGTTTCGACCGCAGGAGACGCAGGCGACCGCAGCAGGCCGCAGCCGTATGACGTCACACCACCCGCCCCATCCCCACTTTCTGTGACGTCATTACCCGGCTGACCGCCGAGCCGCAGCTACCGCAGCTACCGCAGGTGCCCGTGAACAGCACTCCGGACTTATCGTGGTGCCCGGCGTTGCAGTCTCCATGTTTGGCGTAATGCGTTTGATGACACTAACACCAGCCGCGCGCGTCTTCGCCTGTTAGCGGCGACAGACGCTGTCAATACGGATGTAAGCAATGTAAACGAGGCAGTATCCTCTATTTAGACAACGGTTAATACGGTTACACAGAAAAGATGCGTCTTTGCCATTCAATATATAACAGATGTCAATGTAGGTATCAACGTCGCTGACATTAATCTTCAATGGTCAATCTTGGTTATTATATATCACTTCGCGACCGATATCCATCTGAAAACCGTTGATGACGGGCGCTACAGGACGGATGGATAAACCATACCTGTCAGCTGCCAGTGCAGTGTTAGTCAGATTGTTACCGGTCGCGTGTTCTTTCCGGTTTCCAGCTCGAGAGTCTCGATTAACGGCAAAAAACTGTATTGCCCAGGGGCGGCGCTGACCTATTGAAAGTAGGTAGGCACTTGGTAGGTAAGGCAGAAAAGCTGAATACGGAATAGGTAAACTAGGGGGGAAAAGACAGCGTTATTGCTCAGTCGGGATGCGTCAAGCAGCGACAGCAGCGTCATCTACAAAAACCATTAACTTAACTAGAGCTTACACGTCTGCCGCCAGAGGCAAGCTAGTCTCCCAGTAGGAGTCTAGTTCGTCCAATATAATTTTTAACCCGCGCCCTGCTGGGGGGGGGGGTGTTTGAACACCCCCCCCCCTTGTGGTTTTTCGCGAATATCTCAAAAACGGCGGCGCGGAGCGCCGCCGTTTTTGGTATACCTTATCACACATCAATTCTACACATGTTGTGAAAATTTCAGACCAAGGTCATTCAAGGTCAGGTCACCAGGTCACTTGAAGTGACCTCACCTCATAAAAACTTTCAATGTCTGTCATAGCTACACCGAGTGACCGATCGCTTTGAAACTTTCAGCGATTGCTAAGAGCAATAGCATGTACAAAATGTATATCTCAGAATTTTGATATCGATGACCTAAGGTCAGGTCAATTTTGCGACCTCCCCATTATAAGTCAATGGGAGAAAATTGAAATGCGCCTCTTTTGGATGAAAGACATTATAAACACTCCCAAACACCGAATTACAAGTGGTTTAGACACACTGAACTTGAAAATGATGTCCGTGACCCTTGTTTATGCCCTGAGGTCATCTTAGGTCACGAATGGTATCTATCAGTTTTTCGCAAATAACTTTTGATAGAGGCATGCTAGAGCGATGAAAACGCCTTAGATGTGTTCAGCTCGACGATACGGATCGACTGATATGCAACATGACCCTTTCCGGTCAGGTCATGACCTTGACCTGAGGTCAAATTTTCAAGTTGACCTTTCAAGGTCAAGTTATAGTTCGTTCGATGCGTCTTGACGAGAGGAACACGATGCCGGTAAAAGTAAGCTCGTGCAAGGCTTGGGTCAAAAGTTATTGCAGAAAAACTGTTTTCGAAAAAATCGGCTATTTTTGCAGTTTTTGCCCCCTGCAGGCAAAACCGTTGACGTTAGGTCAAATCTGAGAAAATTACTCAGAAAGGGCGTTAATAGGGCTATCGAATGCGCTTTTCCGCGGCGCTGTAGCTCTATTGGTTCCCGAGTTATGCGTTGGCTTCTTGGAAATTTTCGACATTCGACCTGGAAATCGGCGAAATTTTGCCTTCAATGACCTCTGGTGACCTGACCTTTGACCTGACCAAAAAATTGACCGAAGTGATTTCGTCATTATTTTTTACGCTCTTTCGAACGCCGCCTTCCGCGTATCGCTACGTGGCCCAGAAGCCGAGTTACAAGGGGGGGTGTTCAAACACCCCCCCCCCCCCAGCAGGGCGTGGAAATCCAGGACCCCCAGCAGGGCGCGGGTTAACAAACAATAGAATAACACAACAGACATAACAACGCTAGGTACCCTAAACTAATGATAAAAATTGATCACGTTAAATGTGTTTTATTTTATGATAAATGAACTTAATAAAAAGTTAAGTTTGAAAGTTAGAAGGTAGCACCTAGTCGATGTGCCGACCATCTAAACTTTTTCTACCAAAAGGCTCAATAGCCTCAACATGGCAATAGTTGATAATCTAGTAGGACGAGGTAGGCACAATTAGGCAAAGGTTTTTGTCAAGTTGTTGTTATAACACGATCTTTGTTTGACATTTTTTGAAAAGTTTAGGCAATTCTCTTTCGTTTCAACCCATTTTGAAAAACGAAAAGAAAAAGATCTTTAACAAAAGCAATCAAACAATCAAAAGCCACAGTCTAGTGAGGGTGTAGACACAGGGGAGACGACAAATGACGTAGGCACTGCCTACCTTGCCTATATGGGAGAACCGCCCCTGGTATTGCCAATCACACGGCGACAACATCCCCCCGCGGGTTCCCAAGCTCGACTGCCTTCCCGCCGCGTCTCTCGCCGCGCCGCGTCGCGCGGCGTCGCCATGGCAACGGACAGTGGAGATGCAAACTCCGACACAAGATATCTATGGGCGTGCGGCGCAGGGCGGCTTGGCGACAAAGTGTGAGAAATATCGTTTCCGTCTGCTCTGAGCGGCATCGGCGACACTCATTATTTCCAGCGACGGGACGCGCCCCGTCAGTCGGCCCGGAGGCCAAGGCCGACCAACCGGCGGCGGCTCGCTCGGTTCCTATCTCGCTGACCTCCACCGTTCGCCCACAGCAAAAACACTCGGCGAGGGTTAAGCATGTAGTGGTAGACAGGGAAGGTAGATCGTGAAAAACTGAACGTGGGATCAGATAATGGGTTGACGACACACCAAGGGCAAACGACTGTCGGAGAGGTATAAAACGGGCGCCAGACGCAGCAGCGACACACTCACACAGTCCACACCACACTCAACAACATCCACTCTCCAACACTACACTCGACATGCACACGTAAGTATAAGAGAACGGGCGGTCTGCCCCAGCCAGCTCTCGGGGAGCTGCGCTGCACTATGGGGACGAAGGTAGCTGACCTTCCTCTTTCAGAAAGTCCGTCTGACAGGGACTTGGTCAACCACTCGGTATGAGGTTGTACGATTATGTTTTATCGTTTTCGGCTTGTCATTTGGTTTTCCCTTTCGGCCCTTTTTCGATGACCGTCCACAAGTGTCCGGTCTTATTTGGATAACTTATGTTTCAGCCTGCCTGCTGTCGTGGAGCTGACGAGAAAGGCCATTGGCACGACTTGGCAGCTGCAGACTGTTCTTTCGGCATTTCCGGCTTCAATATCAGCCTGCTGCTCGAGTGCGAAAGCAGCTCGTGCGGGACTGATTTTCGGACTTCTTTCGGTTCTTTACATCGGCCTGCCCGAGTGCCTCAGCAACTCCTGCAGGACTGATTTTCAGCCTTGTTTGATCGTTTCTTTATTTACTTGGCTTCAGTCTCATCTTTCGGCGCATTTCAATATATCTGCTTTTTGTTCATGTCTGTGTGCTGGTGGAATGGACGGCGTTGGAAAAAAAGGAAACACACACACATATATCGATCTTGTTTTCATCAGTAATACCCCTAGACAACACATAGAATAATATAGTGAAGGACACAATCCCCTAGACATACCTAGCGATAAGAGCAGCATAGCAGCATATACAAAGGGACAACTTTCAAATTACATTGGGGGCTCGTCCGGGATCTCAAACTCTGTTCTGCTCGAACAGGACCCTGATTATATATGCTTCTGATTCACTGCATGTTCTCGTTTGTGAAGTTTTCATGTTCTTTGTTGTTTCAGGCTGATTCGTTGATCTTCGTTGATGACTGACTTGGTACTTCTTGTAGTCCGTAAGCTTTCTATATTTCGTTTGTGAAATATGAATTGACGGGCCAATATCTGTGTATTTTCAGCTGCATTGATATCTGATGTGACCAGGAATGGTTCAAGCTCCAGGCTCTACTAGGTTCCACGTTCGTCAGGCCCAATTCTTGGTCTGCATGCGGCATTGGCAGTCTCCATTGGATGCGTCGTCGAGGTCGCTGCATCTCTGGAAGTTTATTCGATTCAGGTTAGTCCTACTTCTGCGGGTCTACTTACTTTACCTTCTGCTGATACTTGTCCTTTCGAGTTATTCGGTCGTATGCATCGTAAATTAATTCGTTCGCATCGTTGGCAAGATAGAAGTGACTATTTAACTGGATAGGAGTTGTATAGGAATGTCCAGATATGCTCAATGACTACATTCATTCGGTTCTTAGACTTGAGTTTTGTGTTCGGATGATACCGACTTGGTATCAATGAACTTTATTAAGAAGTTGCCCGTATAAGGCGCTCATATAATGCCGACTTGGTGTTATTGAGCTGGTCCATCTGTTTGATCTGATAACATCGGCTTTGTGTTCTTATTTTTTCATGAATTTTTACGCTCAGACGTTACTGACTTGGCATTAGGTAGCTAACTCTGACTTCGTTGTCATTGGACGTTCTGATGACACCGACTTGGTGTCATTGAACTCTGGTCTTGTTGCCGTTGGATGTCAATGACCAGTGCACGGCAGCACGGATGGTCAGCCAACGTTGTTCGGGTGCAAATATCCATCCACAGAGGAACTATGGGAGATCAACCTCCTGATCGACCACCCAGATATACGATTCCATTCCGAGTTTTCAAGAGGGAACAGCCGGGGGTTACAACCATTCCTCTTACAGAAAATGTCCCATGATCAAGGTTTCCGTAGTTCAGAGATCCGTTGATATAACCTGACATGGCCCTGACACAGTTCAATGTGTCAATGGGACTGAGTGGATGGACGCCTCGCTGACATGTTTAGATATTCATGTGGGATTTCAATCGTTCTACTGGTTGGTCGCTGATAGAGTTTTATTGCTAAGTTGCGCTGTTGACAAAGTTTATCGTACAAGATTGACTCAGTATTTGATAACTGGAGATGTCATTTAAATTTGAGAGTACGGCCAATTTGTTCGTTGACATTTTCTTGACACAGGAATTTCCATCTTTCAGAGCATGTTACAGGTTTCCGGTAAGCCGATTTCAGGTCAGGTAGTTCTCTCAATGCTAGATATTTTGTCCTGCAGTAAAAATGAGATATCGTTTTAGACGTTTCCGGTCAACACTGGATGGCAATATTTTAACTTCACTTTGGCTCAAATAAGTTTGACTGAATGATAAAAGCGAGGTATTTGGCGGGTGATGATATGCTGGGCCAGAAGTGTGATTTTCCGTTAATTGAGTAGGTCGTGCCGTCTACCTACGTCCCTGAGAGAAGGGCGAGTGCTAGGTAGGACGGGCAGCCTACTGACGTCTCTCGGAGGAGGGCGTCACAAGACCGTCTGCTCGCGGGGAGCAGGACGGCAGTCGCGGCCCGGACGCGTAGGAGCTGAGGAGAACTGGTGATAGGGCCTGCCCCACCTATCTACCAGAGTGAGTAGCATGGCAGAGGGTGGTCCTCTGGGGGTTCATGCCCACCGAACATACACCGGCCGGGTATGGGTGGAATTCTCGGTCAGCTTACGCTCTAGGCATAAGGGCTGGGCGAGCAGTGACGGGAGCAGCAGGTCACTGGCACAAGCGACAATCCATGCTGAGGAGGTGTTCCTGGCATGTGAAAAACGGAACCATTTGAGCGTGTAAGGCGGCAAACCCCACCGCAAATACACTGCTACCGGAGTATAAAGAGTCGAACACTCCGGCGACTACAGGAGAGATGAGGCCAGCAGCGGACCCGACCAACAATTTACTTGCTTCAGGAGGTGACCGCAGCATCGATAAGGAAGGTGGGTTGTTTATATCTGAGATAGGATGACTCGGTTGACTTGTTTGGCACTGCTCAGGAGTTGCTGGAGCAGCAACCCGACTTACAGCTTAATGACTTTGGAAGGTAGTCGCAGCAGTCGATCGGAAAGGTGTGATTCACATTCAAGGTTAGATGGTTAGATGATTAATTGGTTGCTTGTTTCATTGCACAGGTGTTGCAGAAGCAGCAAACCCGACCAACACCATAATTACTTTAAGAATTGTACTTCAGGAATTGACCAGTGTCGGATAATTGACCACAGTGTCGATAAGACAGGTGTCTTAGGAAGATGACTCGGTTGCTTTGCTTCGTTTGCACAGGTGTTGCAGAAGCAGCGAAACCGATCGACGTTAACTTGTTTCAGAAGATGACCGCAGCGTCGATAAGAATGGTGACTTGTTTGCTGTGCTTCGTTGCACAGATGTTGCAAAAACAGCAAACCCGACAAACAGTTGAAAATTGAAATGTGAGTAGACTTCAGGTGACTGCAGAGGGAAAGATAGTGTTTAAGACGGTGGTTTTCGTCTCGTTTTATCTCCATTCCATGGCAGGAGGTAGTACGACTCGAATCCTTGCTTAGCTGCACTTTGCAAGTCATAGCAAGTGCAAAACTCTTCAAGAGTCCATCCCGTGGCTCATCTCCAGAGTAGGAAGAAAGACATAAATGCTTCATGTCCTGCTTCATCGTGAATTACTGTGTGGGTCTTGCAGTTGAGATAACAAGGCAAAGAAAAATAGTAATTCGGCCGTCAGCAGTTACCATGTGAGCTGACTGAAGCCGAAAGGTTTCGATTTCAGCGCAGGTACGAGGCACGAGACGTCCCGAGGGAAGGTCTGGCCGGTAAAGCTAAACCGAGCAGAACCGCAACGGTAAGGGACAATGCAACATTAACGAAATATTTGCTTGATTTCGTTGTCTCGACTTTCGAGTAACACTTAGGTTAATGTTTTTATAGCAAGATTCTGGAGTAGCATCAACTGTGCAAACTGACCACACTTTTTCCTGTGGAACGATTTAAATATGAACCCGAAAGCCTATGCAGTTAGAACCTGCAATCCTATGTGAACTCGTTCAGCACTCATGTGAATCATTTGGCAATCCCAAAGCTGAACGAAGAGTCAACGTCATATTGAATGGAAGGTGTACCAGTTACTGTGGTTGACTTTCGTTGTATTGTCTGCAACAGACACCGCGCTGCCGAGTGGAGGTCCTGATGGATTTATCCAACCCTGCATGGAGCGCCACCGTCTCGTGAGAGACCAGCGACGATGATGTCGGGTCACGAACAAAAGTAAGAACAACCCTTGAGATCAAAAGATCAAAGCCAACGGGCATGTGCTCACTTGTTAAAGTCAAGCAGACGAGTTTGCTACAATCTGCTTCAGCGTATGCATGAAGGCCGTGATAAGGGTCAGTTGGTGCTCGAGGTATAAGTTGTGGTGAAGCAACAATCTGGTGCATTGCCTTGAAACTAGATCCAGCGACATGGATCTGTGCAGACCAAAAGATGTGCGGGCATAGAACCGGCATAGATAGACAATAGGACAAACTGCTCGTGTGCTGCGATGCTTGCATCGTCTGGTCCCTCCCAATGTCCTCAGGTCATTGGAGCCAGCAGCAGAGTGCGTCCTACACAGGTATCGGAGATACCAAAAGGTCTACAAGCACCACCATTCTCTCGGCATGTCAGATTGACTTCAGCCTCAACACCTCACCCGAGCCCTTAGGACCAACATCTCGATGCTGAGTGCTGCCAGAAGTCGGAAACGCATCCTTCTGTTCTAACGGAGGCAAACGATCACTCGCCCGTCGGTTGTAACTTATCTCCTCCAGGTGTGGCGGCCATAAAGCAGACGGATGGACCCATCACGTTATCACTCGTGAGTTTTTAAAGTCGAAGCCCGTATTGGGAATCGTTAACAAGCGTACCCTTTACATTGCACGACTGACGACATGCTCCTTTGTAAATCGTTTCCGGTAAACCACGAAATTCCCATCCCAGAAACAGTCCACAGGTCAGTAGCAAGGAGATGTGGTTCCCAGAATAATATAAATGTAAAGGTGCAGTGATTGCCTTTTTCCAAGATTTTGTATCCAGCAGCACTACCATGGTGCAATGCTAAAGCTGAAGCTAAAGTCGTGTGATCTTATCTATCAAGCTATTAAGTGATTATGTATTTTGCACTATTGTCATATTTGTCGAAAGGCACAAAACAGTTAAAACAGTTTAAGACGCCGCATTTGCCATTGTCTACAAGTCAAACTCGGTTTGACCGTCAGACTGTAAGTCTATTATTACGTACGTATACCCGTTCACCCCCTAAGGTTACAGTTCTTCGTTCGCCATAAAAATGGGAGGGATGTGAGAAATATCGTTTCCGTCTGCTCTGAGCGGCATCGGCGACACTCATTATTTCCAGCGACGGGACGCGCCCCGTCAGTCGGCCCGGAGGCCAAGGCCGACCAACCGGCGGCGGCTCGCTCGGTTCCTATCTCGCTGACCTCCACCGTTCGCCCACAGCAAAAACACTCGGCGAGGGTTAAGCATGTAGTGGTAGACAGGGAAGGTAGATCGTGAAAAACTGAACGTGGGATCAGATAATGGGTTGACGACACACCAAGGGCAAACGACTGTCGGAGAGGTATAAAACGGGCGCCAGACGCAGCAGCGA